TCTAACTGAATTTGTTTGGCTTCAAGTTCTGGTTACTTGCTATTTAATTACTTCATCCCTCCCTTCAGCTGGTTTTGTGCCACTCTAAATAGCCCACTGCTGCTTGGTATTTTCTCCTTCTGAAGGAATGAATGAGATTGTAGTAATTTTCTTTGAAGGAAAGCACTTCATGCTTGTTCCAGAAGCTTGAAATTCAGCCTAGCTCTGCCCTTGTGTTGCAGATGGTTATTACTGATCTGGCCGTAAATGAGTGTCTGGTCCTGGACCCACTGTGAAATCAAAGGCAGGCAAATATGAAAGGTGCAGCCGTTGTGCATTAGTTCCTAATTTAACACCGTGGAAGCTGGCCTGCTTAATCAATCCACCCTCTAGACCTGGCAGAGTGAAATGGAGTTACTAACACAGTATAATTAATTCATCTTTTCATTCTTTCAGACAGCTAAACAACCTGAATTGTACGGGGAGAATGAAGGAGAAACTGTTCAGACATATGTACTATTTCTACGAGGCTATTTTCCCTCTCTCCGTGTTTCCCCCCCACCTCACGTAAGTGTCTGGCTCTCTTTTTACTTCCTCTCCCCTCCAGCAACTTTGTTCAACATGTCACCTCCAGACCACAGGAACTGTGCCAGCGTCAAGCCCTTCAGTGACAGAAACCTCTTCGCCTGTGCTTATTCTCTAAGCCTGTTACACATTTGAACGAGCTCAATTTGCTGCCACACCACTCTGGAAGCTTGTTAGATTTTTTTTTTTTCTAGTAGTAGTAGGAGTAGCCTGGAAGACTTTACTTCACAGCTACTTTATAAGTTCAACTTTAGGAAGTTGAGTGAAACAGTATGCTAACGTCCAGTACCGGCAGCATCATTTTGCAGTGTGTTAATTAGGGAACTGCTTTATGTACCTCTGTAATGGTCTTTCTCTAAACACACTTCTGTTTGATCACAAATTTTTGGCTCTGTACTCTGTGACATGCAGGAGGTCAGACTGAATGCTGCTCCTGACTCATTCCAGCATTCTATATAAAAGCCCATTCTCTTTTATTTTATATTTCAGCAGCTGTATAGCAAAGTTTTAAACTGATTAAGAACACAGAAAACATGTAATGAAAAGTATCAACCTCTCCTGAATACAGAGATGGATATCTGACAAGCTATCTGGTGACACAGAAAATACAGTGCAGATCTTTATCGTGATAAAATATGCTTCAAGAGACAAAAAGAAAGCTCGCTGGCTCTTCTCTGCAGTAGTTGATGCCTGGTAATCATTGGCACAGAATATACAGAGACCCTTAGAGCAGTGTCACTGCCTGTCACTACCAGCTGCTTGGCTGCGGTCACGCATACTGAGAGGGACATAAAGGAAGAAAAACCAGGACACCCTTCTCCCGTTCGAAGCGTGGGGAATGTAACAGCGAAATATTTAAACAATTTTAAAATACTGCAGTAGGAAGTAAAGTGCTCAGCACCAGAACGAGTAAACTCTCCAGTTAATCCCCCCGTTGTGTCAATATTGAAACAGTTCCCAGTATTTGTGCACGTCTGCACTGGCGATTTTGCAGGACATTTTGCAGAAGGAGTTCAGACCACTGGTGAAAGGGCTCCCTCTAGTTCTGCGCTAAAACCAGGGTGCTCAGTGGAAAAGACTGTCCCAAGAATGAGCTTCTACGACTTCCCTGCCAAAGGAGTTTTCCATGTGCTTGTAGCGTGATGAGAAGCAACAACAGCAGAATCAACATTTTCAGGTAGGATTGCTGAGGGAGTCCTGCGCGTAGGCAACCTACATATACGTAGGCTTATTTTTAGAAAACTGCTGTCCTTCACAGTAAAGCTTTTTAACAATGGGTTGCCTGTATTTTACCAGAAAACCCTCAGAAGACGAGCTTATCAGTTGCTTTAAATGTTCATAATTCCTGTAACTTTATCAATTTATTTAATAAAAGGACTTTCACAGAGATAGAGAGAAAGTTCTTTGGTTTTACAGGATTATGCAGCCTACCTTAGGTGCACCGGTTTGGAAAAGTTGATAGAAATGACTAGCATCTGATTTCAAAATAAATTTATGATTTAATTAATTCCTGCAAGTAATAAGCAGGAAGCCTGTAAGACTTACGCTAGCTGTAAACTCACCTTTACTTCTCTGAAGGTCGTCCTTGACTTCCTGAATGTCTTTTTCCAGATTCATAATCTTGTTGACCTGTATTTTACTCCCTACATTTATGTACTCCAACCAATAATCTCTCTCACTCTGCGTTGCTGCAAGTTTTTGGTCAGTTTCTTCAATTTGGGAGTGCAGATCTATTGAAATAAGAACATCAGAAGAGAAGTTTGTAATAGTCCATAATTCTTACAACTTCATCAAATTCTTTAACAAAGGCACTTTCAGTGGGATGGAGAAAGAAGAGTGATTCTTCTACGCTACAATACTTTACAACATGATGGCCTCACACAGTGCCAAGGGCCACCGTCATTGCTGAAAACAGCTTAATCTTACTCTGCCAAAGAGAGACAACAGTCCTCACTGAAATGTTGTAACCAAAGGCACATGTGTCTCCCATGGAGAATCTCAGGGATGGCAGGCAGAACTTTCAACAATCAAAACCAGTCCTTTTTCTGCCATCAGTCTTCTTTTTTTTCTTTTCTTTAATCTTTCAGTGAAGCCAATGTATAGGGCTTTCCTGAGTTTCAACTTTATAGAAAAAATGGAGCCTCTGTACCTGCACAGTAACATCACCTGGAAGGAGCAGATTTAATTATGAGCCCTCCCCAATCTCATACCATGTTGAGAGAGCTTAATTTAGGGGAGGAAAAGCTTTATGCTTACTAAGCCACAAGGAAGTTGAATCTCTATTTAAAAGGCCAAAAAAAAGTACTCAACCTCAACTGTGTAAAAACAAACCACCACCACCCACCTTTCAGAAGTTGTTCTTTGTCCCTGGCATACTGCCAGGCTGCTTTCAGGGACTCTTCCACGTCCTCCCTAGTTACAACCTCCTTTGCATCTCGTTCTTTCTCTTCTTCTTCTATTTGTCTTAGTACATGCCTGATGTGCGCCTGCTGTTCTCTCTTCAGAAGCTCATCCTATGAAAGAACAACGGAAGAAAAAGCGTGTGTTAAAACATCTTCAAAGCAGTGTTCAAAGAGATAAATTTAAATAAACCTTAAAACTTAAATAAAAACTTAAATAAGGCAGAAAAACAAAACCTGACGTAGGATGCTCTGCAAAAACGTGCAGCTGAACACCTTTTCTTATATGTGAAAAGGACAGAGCAGAAAGGAGAGCTGGTGAGTCTCAGAAGTTTCTCATGTAACTTCAAGACCGTAACAAGGAAATGAAAGACAAATGACCGCAGCACATCAACAGTCAGCCATTGCCCAGAAGGAAAGTTCCTTGTGGGTCAACTGAATGGCGGTATGAGTTTGTAAGAGTTATTTACTTCACAGCAACATTCTTCATGAGAACGTACCACCTTCATGTAGAAATGTCGTCAGTCAGGTCACTTGCGTAGAACCACGGTAAAGAGCCTTGTCAGAGCTGGAATTAATTATACGTACTGATTCCACAACTGTAATTATAAGCCCTTGCCATGACCCTCTCAAGTGGTACTCAAATTACTTGAAATTTCCGATTGTTTATGTTTGCTCCCAAAGGATACTGTAAAAGAGCAAATAACCACACCAGCCAAACCGTAACAGAAACTAGGCAGTAGGGAGAGTCTCAAGCACTCCTCGCTTCTAGAAGGATTAACTCTAAACCACTCAGAAAAATTAAGCAGGAAACAAAAAATGGAGCTCAAAGAACTGTCAAAACATGAGTGAATTAAACAAACAGCACTTCAAGCATGCCCTGAAGTACCTCGCACAGTCTAAAATATGAAGGAGTCCTTGAGAGAACATGAACTAGCAGCAAACTGGGGGAATAATCATACGAGACTTGAGATGTCTCCAGAGAGAAAAGTCAAATGCGACTCCCACTGATAGTTAAGACCACGAATGAAGCACCATCCTGGCTTCAAGATGGAAAGGAACACCAAGGAAAGCTAAAGAGATGGATACTTGTAAATTCAGGGCAAGTATCAAGCATGGGAAGGAGAGACATTATTTGTTCCAATGTTTCATTGCCATAGGATCACATATAACATAATCCAGTTTAAGGATTTTTGAGTGATTTGAATTAATTTCATTCAGTGATTGCACACATACCCACTTCCAAATTTCACTGCGCCCAGTCATCAGACGCCATCTTACGGTTCTTTATATACAGTTTATAGATATGGTTCTTTAAACCGATCAGTAGTTACAGAATCTTGTGCTAAAAATGACTCAACACAACTCTGAATCCACAAGAAACTGAGTCTTCATCAAGCAGTGCTAAAACTCGCACCAAGACAATTGCGTGCTGCCCTTTCTTCTTTGTTCAGTATTCACTGTAACTGCATTTGCAAGAACACCTAAACTGTCACAGAAACCTGTGCAACTCCATTACCTCAGAAGTCAATTGAAGAGAGTCTCAATCTCACTACTTGGTTAGATCTGCTAATACTACCGACAAAACCAAAGTTAATACTGTTTATTCTTTGTGTGAAGAAGTACTGAGGAACACCTGCAGGACTGCTTAAAAAGAAACATCTGAATGTACTGTGACAAAGTCACCTACTGAGTGGGGACTTGCTGTCCTCTGTTGGCTGTGGAGTAAGATGAAATACTTTGGTGGTTACTGAGGATCTAGTGTGCATCGGAAAACACCTCCACCAAACTCATTTTACCTTGCTGCTCTGTCCTAGTGCAGCTCCTTTTCTGCATGGTTATATTTAGGACGTTTACACTTTGTGTCACACTTAATTCAGATAACACTTTAACTGTCAGCACATAAGGTAACTCACTCAATTTCACTGACTGGAAGAAATCCACCGCAACAACTAGTTTTAGTGACTGTTGTGTTAGGATTAAATGAATACGCTGAATGGCTGAGTTAAAATACCACAGATAAAATGCACTGGGCGAAGGATGCACGGTCACTTACTTTTTCACGATATTCTTTGTTCTTTTTTTCCACTTGTCTCAGACCAGACAGAACCCGATCAATTGCTGCGTCTGTTGTCTCGATTCTGTGGAGAAAGAGTGAAGAAAGAGACATTCTTACAAAAACAGAAGGGAAAGGAATGTTCCTTAAGCTAGATTAGATGTAAATACTCCTGAAATGTGTATTTTCATATCATATTGCTTGACTGTCTGCTTACTACACATAAAAAAATTATTTCCCATTATACATCTGGACCTTCATATTAGTTTGGATCTCATATGGAGAAACAGTCTCCCTGATGATACCCTTCCTCTGTCACCACTAGAAAGGATGTGTTCTTTCTGGCTATGGTTTAGGTGACCTCCTGCACGGGTCTCTTTTAGGACACAATTATTTGTACTCCAGGAATACTTACTACACACCTCTCACTACAGAGGAAGCCCAGGCAACTCACCCAGACAGAGGCCAGATGGATCCCAAACCGAAAAATTAAATGGGATTCAATTTTTCTGAAAATGTGGTTTGCTGAGCTTTATAAACTGCACTTGAACACCAGGAACTTGTTAGCCTTTAAGAAGCGCTGAGGGAACAGGGACTGCAGCCCGGGTAGTATCTTCTAAGTATGTTTACACATTTTTGTCAAAGAACTAGCTCAGAGCTTTTACAATTTTCATAGATGACTTGTCATCCTCTTTGCCACAGCTGTAAAACAAGTTGGTTTCTTTCCTGGTGTTCTCCTCTAGAATGAGAAATGTGAGCTTGCAAATGGTGTCTACTTGCAATATTCTCTATTTTTCCCTCTGTTCCCGGAATTCATTCACCATATGGCACAATAGAGGCAAGTGTTACAATTATCACAATCTTTTACTGTGTCAACAGCTATTGTTCCTTCAGTTGTTGGGGGTTTTTTGGTGTTTTTTTTTTTGTTTTTTTTTACCTCTCTCTATTGTATTGTGTTGTTTTAAAAGAAGATCTTTTTTTCCTGGCTAAGTTTGGAGCACTGAGTCATGCAAATTGAAGGTTAATACATTTGCATCCTCTGATGTCAGTTTACTCCAAGGCATTCTTTGGGTTTTCCATTAAGTGCAAGGATATTAGCTACAGTTATATGGGGGTATCATGGTGATGGCTACAGCAAAAATATATCACTCATTAAATGGAAGTGACAGCTTGGCCGCACAGTGTGACCTCCTAAATTTCCTGCCATTTTAACTCATTTCTGTATTTTTGATAGAGTTGCTGATCTTAATTTCTGCTACTTGAAGATTTCCCATGATGTAGCAGTCCATATCCATCACTTTGTTAACATCAAAAATTTCTGCTATTTTGTCTGCTAAATATTGGACTTTTCCTCTTTAGATTATTTTTCTACAGGATTTGTCAGAATAAAGGAACAAAACAGCTATACTTGGATATTATTTTTCTCAATTCT